TAATAGAAATAATAAAGTAATATAATACTATAAATAATAATCTAAAAATAATACTAATAATAATAATAACAATAGTTTTAAAAATAAGAAATATTTAAAAATTATTATACAATAATCAAAATTGATTTATTTAGCATAATATCACTTATTAATTATTTACAAAAAGTATATAATTCAGCTAATTAATTAAATTTATTGTAAGAGTTTAAATATATTATAACAATTTAAACAATGAGTTGTATTCAAGTCAAAAATAAAACTATGAGTTTTAAAAAAGATAATTATTTTATTAACTTAAAAACAAAAATATAATCTGAGTTGTTACAATGATAAAAATGTCCTTTTTAAATAACTATTCTTTGTTATATAAATAATTTATAAAAATATATGAATAAAAATATATATTATTAATATATAAGTTCCTATTAATTCTTCCAAAAGATCTTATGTACCATAAATATAAAATAAAAGAAAAATATTAATATAATAAATATCATGTGCACTTAATAATAACATTCTATTTCCAAATAAATATAAAGATAATAAATACAATAATTAATAATAATTAATTAATAATATTCTGGAAGGTTCTATAATATTCTGGAAGATTTTAGGATATTCCACAAGATTTCAAAAAGTTCTGATATATTTTACAGTATTCTAGGATATCTCCAGAATGTTTTAAAGTTTCTGATCACATAGAATGTGACACAGTAAAAGCAAAAAAATTGTTACATTTATATAACTTTTATTTTTAACTATAAAGTAGCATATAATTTATTCAGCACATAAATAGTACACTTTTTTTTAAACCTTATTTTGTCAAAAGTTAATATTTTGACAGTAAAATAAATAATTTATTTTTTGCATCAAATATATATACAGTATATATATATTGATTTTGCTGAATTATATTACTTTAACAGAGTCCAGTAGAGCTATAGTGTATTGATAAATCACTGGTATATCAGTACTAATGTTACAGATTCAATTCCAAGTGATAGTGACAGATTACACAATCAAGATTCAAATCGTAGTTTATAGAATAACTATCAGCGAAGCCAGAAAAATTACTCAGACAGCGAAACAAAAGATAACAAAGAAAAATTACTTAGCAATGCATAATTAAAAAGGTCAAATCTTATCTTTATTATTTTTGTAAAATAAATATTGAGAAGGTAGAGGCCTGGCTAATTAAATGATCAAGTAGCAGGATGTTTCAAGGGAGGAATTTGCCGACCTTTTAAAAATTTGGTATACAATGTTAATGAAAAAATTAAATATAGATACTGCTAAGGAAATCGCACATAGTAGAGGAGGTGTGTCTCTCGGAACAATACATTAATAATAATACTTCGATGCTTTGGAAATGTATTAAAAACCATGAATGGTTTGCTAAGCTTCATAGTGTAAAAAATCATAATACCTGGTGCCCAAAGTGTACTATTGGAAATCGTCGTACTTGAACGATTGAAGATATGAAGAGATTTGCAGAAAAAAAGGGAGGTTTTTGTCTTGCAACTGAGTATATAATAGATGGGATCCTCTTGAATGGCAGTGTAAAGAAGGCCATAAATGGAAAGCTTCATCAAGGGATATTCTTAAAGGAACTTGGTATCCAAGATGTAGTACACTAGGCCGAAAATCTCTTACACCTGACCAAAAATGTATTTCAGTCCAAAGTCATGCTACACTAATGCAAAGACATGGTCAACCACAATACAATATTGATATAGCGAAAAATATTGCACAAGAACGAGGTGGTAAATGCC